CCAAGCACTGCCCCTTTACTAAACATTGAGGTTAATTGTGCTCCCTCGAATCCTCACCCATGGTAATTAGTTACTAGAAAAAAAGGAAGAACTTCTTGTCACCCTATCCCCAATCCTTTCTCCAATAATGCTTCAGAATGTCAATAGCCAGTTAAATCTAGTGAATCCACATAGCACTTTTGAGAATCCTCCTCTCACAAGCATTAGACCATATGTACATCAAACTACAGAGATTCTTCATGAATCCATCTTGGTGCCTCCTCTTCAGACTTATGTAGGTTCTTCTCACCGTCACTCTAATATAATATGTAGTAGTACTATACCATGTCTTGCAGCACCACAGTCTGACTGTGCACCTGCCTCCCTATTCATTGGCAAATGCAAGATAATTAATTTTGTGATTGATTTTTCCCCTCGCAAGCTTAAACCTCACTAGTCACAACTTCCTATCAATGCTCCACTTCCTTTAAACAATTCATTTGATGCACTGCCAAAAAATGAGGGAGATGATGGGAATAACCAAGAGTTCTCATTAGATCATGATTCTGCCTCTAAGGAGGATACCTCTTATAATGCAGACCCTACCTTTTCCCCCTCTATTGACATGATTTTGGAACCAAGAAAGCCTGTGCACACCAAGCATTCAAAAATAGCTAGGAGAGCAAGGAAAACAAAACCACTAGCAACCAGTGTCACGCTAAAAGGGTTTAGAAGTCTATGCAACTTAACCTCTTTCTCCCAATGAATTGGGCTGCTTGGAATATAAAAGCGCTAAACTCTACCCTCAAGTAAATAGAGATTAGGAGTCTTATTAGAGATTCTGGGTTAAGCCTATTAGTTATTTTGGAGACAAAAGTCAACATTACTAACATACACAAAATACATCAATTCATTGCTCCTCAATGGTGCATCAGATGTAATTACCTTTCATCTGTGCTTGGAAGGGTTTAGATAATTTGGGATCCACAAAAGATTTCCCTGCTATCAGTTGTGGAGCACAGTCAAGTTATTAACTGTTCTATTGAAATTATAGATTTTAAAGTCAAAGTTTTAGCCTCCTTTGTCTATGCAGCTAACACTGCAGTGGATATGAGAGCTTTGGAGAGCTTTAAATCTACATTGTTCTTCTAATGAGCCTTGGATTGTTTTGGGTGATTTTAATTTCCTATTTCATATTGATGACTCATTTGGTGGGGTACTTAGATAGACTGTGGGGATGAATGAGTTCAAGGATTGTTTGGTTAGGAATGGTTAGGAGGATATGAGGTATTCAAGGGTCTTCCATACATGGACCAATAGGAGTTTTGGTTGTGTTAACATCTCAAGGAAGTTAGATAAGGTTCTTATAATTCACCCCTGGATAACACTACTTCTACAAGCAGAATGTGAGTTCTTACCCCATGGAATTTCAGACCATATATTCACCAATGGTGGTCAGGTTTGGTGCCCTCACTCCAAAAAGAAAAACGTACACCATTCAGAATTTTTAACTTTTGGGCTCTTAATCCTTCTTTTCTCAGCATTGTTGCACAAGCTTGGCAGCTGGATGTGCATGGTTCAAAAATGTACATTCTTACGAAGAAGTTAAAGGCCTTAAAAGCTCCCATCAGACAATTGAATAAGACCACATTTAGTGATATCTCTGCCAGAGTAAATGCATGTAGGGATGAATTGTCTCTTTGCCAAAGAAGTTTTGACCTTAATCCAGCTAATGACCTACTCAGATTGAATGAAAATGAGTTAGCAAATAAGTTTCAGGAGCTTTCTCTTGCTAAGGAGATGCTTTTCAAACAAAAGGCACAGGTGCATTGGCTGAAGGAAAGGGATCAAAACACATCATTCTTTATGAGAAACTTCAGCTCTAAAGCAAACAGGAGAAAGGTGCAGTCAATAACATATCGAAATGGCAATTTATTTCAGGGGGAGGATATGAAAAAAGAAATTCTTTCTTACTTCAAATCAATTATTAGACAGTGCTCTACATAGTACTCGGGTATGGCTTCTATATCACCCTTTCTTTCTAAGTCTGTTCCTCCCCACTTCCTTCCTACACTCATGCATTCTCTTATTTCATATATCCTTTCAAGAGCCATGGCCCTGATGGGTTTAATTTTTTTTTTCTTCAGTAATGTTTGGCCTATCATTGGTTAAGATGTCATTGTTGCTATAAGGGATTTCTTCCTCTCTGGGAGAATGCTGACAGAAATAAATTGTTCTTATATTGCACTTGTTCCAAAAATTCCTAACCCTTCAAATGTCAATGACTTCAGACCAATTTCATGCTGCAACTTGATCTATAAAACCATTTATAAGCTTTTAGCATTGAAACATGCCCCTGTACTTCCCTTCTTATTAAGTCCAAGCCAAATTGCCTTTGTTAAAGGTCAACACATTACTGAAAATGTCACAATGGCTCATGAGCTCCTGAATGGTTATCACAGGACTAACTACCCACCAAACTGTGCCCTTAAAATCGATTTTGTGAAGGCCTTTGACTCAGTTCATTGGCAGTTTATATTGGATTCTTTTCACTTATTTGGTTTCCCCAATACATTTGTGCATTGGGTGTCCCAATGTATTACTACACCCTCATTTTCATTATCTCTTAATAGTGAGTTGTTTGGTTTTTTTCCAAGGTAGAAGGGGTATAAAATAGGGGGACCCTATTTCACCATTATTGTTTGTTATTGTAATGGAAATACTCACTTCAACCATCAATGCTCATATTAGACTTAATCTTGGTTTCAAATTTCATTGGAGATGCAAAAGACTGTCCATTACACACCTCACATTTGTAGATGATATAATGATTTTTACTCATGCTAACTTACCTTCAGTGCAAATCATACTTGATGCACTTAATCTTTTCTTCACTTGCTCTAGTCTTCAAATGAATTTGGCAAAGTATAAGGCTGTCTTCTCCAGAATGGATGGACAAACAAAGGCTGCCATCTTAAACCTTCTGCAATTTGAGGGTGGAAGTTTTCCTATCACATACCTAGGGTTGCCCCTATCATCCATAGCAATCACAGCAAGGGACTGTCAAACTTTGGTGGAGAAAATCACTAGAAGAGTGGGATGTTGGACCTCTGGGTTTTTATCTTATGCTGGTAGGGCTGTGCTCATTAAGGCAGTGCTGTGCTCCATTCAGTCATACTGGTCCCAAGCTTTTGTCCTCTCGAGGAAGATTTTTGAACAGATTAATCAAATTTTGAAGAGGTTCTTCTGGACTGGTGTTGACCTTTAGAAGAGAGGTGCTAAAGTGGCTTGGCAGGCAGTTTGTAGACCAAGGATGCATTAAGGTTTAGGTTTTCTTGACCTTGAGCTCTCCAACATTGTTGCCAACTTAAAGCACTTGTGGAAGCTGTGTTTAAAGAAAGATAGTCTCTGGGTGGCTTGGGCTTATGCTTATCTTGTTAGGGCTTGGAGTATTTGGACAGTTAGACCAACTGCACTTAGCTCAGGTTTTTAGAAGAAGCTTCTGAAACTAAGGGATATGGCAAGAGGCATTATCAGATAGTCCATGCGATCCTATTAGTTGGTCCATTACTACTATCTATTTCCATCATTTTAAACCAAAAATAAAATAAAATAAATATTTAATCTACCAAATAAATTACAACTAATTCATATCATTTACGCACACAATTTAATTAAACAAATAACACATAGACAAATAGCCAATAAATCAAGTAACACTTAAATCAATTAAACACATAAACAATTAGCCAAATAATCAATAAAACAATAAAAAATGCAAATAAAACAAATAAATAAATAACGAAATTATCCTTTTAAAATTAGGGGTATTACATTAAGCCAAGTATTAGAGCAAGACTTGCTACTATCAAGCTAAGGAGAGCTTCGAATTTGAGGCTCATTTCAAGGGAACAAGACCTATTCAGCCTCTTTGTACAGGCCTACAACAGCCCATGTGGGCATAACTGATTACTGTCATGAGGTTACTACACCTTACCACAGTGGAGACATTCACAATGATGGATTTGGACAGGAAATCCTTCTGTTTACCTGTTATTTAGTGCTGGCGTCAATGGCTTGGAGTCATGCCTGCTGGTACTGGTTATTAGCCTCTGCGCATGCATTGTTTGCCCTGTTTGGTTGTTTCTCTTATTTTGTTCTTATTGGCTTCCTTTTGTAGTTTTTTTTTATTGTTTTGTGTCTTTCCCTTGCTTGGGGCTCAATATACATTATCCTCTATCTATACACAAGCTTACCTTTAACAAAAAATGAAAAAAAGAAGAAGAAGAAGAAGAAGAAGATTTGTTATTCTTGGGGGTTATTTTTAGTTATGCATATTTTTAATCATTTTTATTCGGTATAGGGTACATTTTAGTAATTTCAATCAATAATAAATGTCATATGTAATTGTTCATAATTTAATGAGTGAGAACTTGTTGTGAATTCGAGAATTTGAAAATTAAATTTGAGATTAACAAAATTGAATTAGTGAATTGTGAGAGAATTTGCTAACCGAAATACTTTTACTTTCCTCACATCAAAAGTAAAGTAGATATAGGGACATCCTTCCATTTTCTCTTTCCCTACCAAATGAAGGGTAGACCTTACCATCTCTCTTACTTCCTCTTCACCAGCAGTCTTCGTATAATAAAACATAGGGTTAATTGCATATAACTCCTCTAGCTGTATTTTTGGCACTTAAATCCCTGCACCAAAATTTTCACATCTGATTGTGAAAAAAAAAAAAATTTGACAAAATTTTCGAATAACGGTTTTACCCCAAAACAGTAAAATGCTAATAATAATAATAATAATAATAGTGCAGGTGGGTTTTCAAACAATTGTTGACATATTTTCATTTTTGTTTTGGTTTTGTTCCCTTGTCATTAACATTAACCACTAAAATTTCAATTTCGTAATCTTAAAAAATTGAAACAATTTATGTATTACAAATCTTGATGCTTCATTAAAGAAATTGCAGTGTTTGATTATTAATGTGGTTGCACTCCCCTCTCTTGCAGCGTCAAATCAACAATTGAAAGGTACAAGAAAGCATATGTTGATTCCTCAAATTCAGGATCTGTTTCTGAAGCTAACACTGAGGTAAACTTAGTTTTGGAATTTGTTTTTAATTAAAATATTGCCCTTTTCTATACATTAATAACAGTAGTTGTTAACAAGGATAAATTTGACGATTTTGTTGCTATAGTACTACTTTAATATAAGAATATATATATATGGTCGCAACTTCAATAGAATTAAGTTCCCAGTTGAGAACTTCAATTGATGATACGAACTATGGGGTTTAGTTGAATTTGCTTTGTAATCTCCAGAAAATGCAATTGCAATAGCATTGAGGATTGAAACATCAGACCTCCCCTCTAAACGAGTAGGGGTTTATTCTGCAGGGGCATTCGGTCCTTTGGTAACAGTTCTATTATTTTGTGCGCAAATTGCATAATAATTTTTTTTGTCCCTGGTCTAGTTTATCGTGTTAATTAAAATAAGAATTGAAGTGAATTTTTATGTTTTCCATAATTTAGATATCTTTTCCCACAGTTAAAAATATTAATTAATATATTTGCTTTATCGTTCGAAATATATATATATATATATATTGACTGAGGGATACAGGGTTAAATTTTCATGGATTAAGTATGTTATACATTATAGGGTGGTGAGCAAAAAACACCTCTATGATATGCATATAAAGTGTATAATCTAAAAAATTCTTAACATTCAATTTTGGAGCAGGATGTGAATGCTAAAAAGAATAAAGTATCCCTCAATTAATTTTTTTTTCTTTTTTTCGCTTCATATTGCAGGCAGTAATAGGGGTGTTTTTCTCACTTTGCCCTGCAATAAATAATTTATGACAGCTTGATGATTCTAAGTGGATCTAATTTATCTTCACTCTTATTGAGTGTAAATTAAGAACCCAAAACCACTTGTGTTATGTTTTTCGTCTTCTGTTTCAGTTGTGAAAATCTTTGCTGTATTTGTGTGCGTGTGGAGGAGAGAGATCACCATGATTGATAACATCAATTATTGTAATAAAACCATCATACTCACGTAGTTTTTATTTCATAAGATTGTCTGACACTGTGATTCACACTGAGCCCAGTTTTACCAGCAAGAAGCTACCAAACTGCGGCGACAAATCCGGGATATACAGAATTCAAACAGGTATGCTAATGGGATGGCTATGTTATGCAGATTATACTCCTAATTGTTGATACTGTGAGGAGGCACACACATGTATAAACATAACCAATATATGACGTTATTTGCAGGCACATTCTGGGCGAGGCTCTCAGCTCGTTAACCTTTAAGGAGCTCAAGAATCTGGAGGGCAGATTGGAGAGAGCCATTAACAAAATTAGATCCAAAAAGGTATGGATCATAAGGACTGAGCAATGCCTATCCTAATTTTTTTTTTTCCCTGAATATGCCTATCCTAATTCTATCATGGGCTTCTCTATCTTTCAATTTCGATGAAATAAAAATTCACTTTTTATACATACATATATATATATATATATTTATGGTTTTACTTACCCGGACTAACTTGCTTGATATCTTATCAGAATGAAATGTTGTTCGCTGAAATTGAGCTTATGCAAAAGAGGGTAACTATCAAATCTTGTTTTATGTTTTTATGTTCAATTTTCAGTTTCAGCACTCAGCAGTAAGTGAAAACCCCAAAGTTAATTTCTAAAACCGTAGCAAAACCCCCACTGTTTTTGCTGGTAAAAAGAGGAAAACTTTTCAGGCCATGGCCAGGGAGAGACTATAAAAGAAATTAACCTGGCTTAGTTGCATTATATATAATTATGTTGTGTTTGCTAGTATGGAATCTACACAATAGATGGATGGAACCGGAATCGAAGACCATTCAAACTTCAAAGTAGTTTTCCTTTAATTTCAATTCTAAGGTGTGGATTAATTTGTTGTGCCACCAAATATAGTATTAACAATTTTGATGTGTAGTAGTTAGGATGGTTAAAAGCTAAATATTTACATTGTGCAGGAGATTGAGCTGCAAAAAGCTAACATATACCTGCGAGCCAAGGTCTCTCTCTCTCAATATGTACATATAGATATGTGTGTGTGTGTATATGTGTGTGTTTATGTGGAATCATATTCTAACGACAAGTAACAAATGGTTGATGGTGCAGATAGCTGCAAATGAAAGAGCACAAGAGCAAATGAACTTGATGCCAGGATCAGAGTACGAGAACATGACTTCACAGCCTTACGACGCTCGGAACTTCCTCCCTGTAAACCTCATCGAGCCCAGCCACCAGTACTCCCGTGAGGACCAAACAGCTCTCCAACTTGTGTAAGATTCTCTCTTCCTCAACAGAAAGTACACTAATACTGGCTACAAGTATCAATTAATGAATTTGCATGCATATCACACATGAACCTAAATGATTATTCTAATGAGTATAACCCACACCTCCCAAGTTATTATAATACAAGAACTTCAATTGATCCGTTCATGAAGTAGTATCTGCTCAGACAAAGGAAGCATTTTGATTTTATTATTTATATATATATAGTTATATACACGTGTGTGGTGTGTGTTTTTTCTGGTAACTAAGGTAAGTAAGATTGTATAGATATATAAGATAGAATGTACAAAGAAAGACAACCCTAGTTAGGGAATGCCAAAACTGAGTCGGAGCTAGGAACACAAAGCAACAAAAAGTGATAAAACAGTTACAATATAGGATTAATACAGTTACAAAACCAATCAAAAGCTGCAGTAGATCGAGAATAACTATTAAATGCACATATGGATGGAGGCTGGATGAATAATGCACTAGAGAGATGCCGTGATCGAGGAAGCTATGAAGAGAGCTGCTTAATTTGATGATATTGAATTGATTAAGGAGGGTTCATGATCGAGATGAAGATGAGTAGGTTTGTGAATAGTACGTACTCACTCCGTTATTCCTTAATTTCCTTACAAATTAATTAAAATAAACACAATTACATGCTGCAAGGGATAACCAGCCTGCAGTGAGATAGATAGGAAAGATGCAGGTTGAAGGTGGCCTTGCAATGAGAAAGACTGCCAGTTGGGCGGGAGTGATATTATGAAAACGTACAATTGGAGAGTATTTATATATTAATTAATTACACTGTTGGCCTGGCCACATATATTAATTTACAGTATATAAAATTTGTTTGATTACTTAGAAATCATAAAGAGATATTAATTTTGATTTTTTTGGGTGCCCGCAGTTGATATCCAGGTGGAAGACTTGATGGATGTCTGGTATTCTCTATGCTGGGCGTTCTGCATTCTAATTCCTCTTTTTAGGCTGGAAATTAAAAACTGTTTAGAATTGGTGAAATATTGTTAGAATGAACTACTACTATTTAATTATTCCAAGCTCGATCATCACTACAATTACAGCCTTCAGCATATATTTTCTATATGTGTGAGACTGTTGTTACAAGACTAGTCTTGTAGTGCAGTTGGAGTAGTAGTGCTATATATAATAATAGACTTGAATTGTACTAATTTCTATTGTAATTACTACCGTAGTAGTATCTTTAGCACTCTTGATCCATCAACAACACAAAAAAAACCCACACGATCATATTAACGTTATTTTCCATGCAAAAATGATTCCTCAAACTGCTCACACCTTAATTTGTGGGATTCTGTCATATACTCATTGAAATTGCAAATCGATCAACAAATTAAGATAATAACAATCATACATACCGTGGACGTTCTTCTTGTCCCAGACCATTCATTAGGTAGACTGGAGTACTGGTAAACATGCGCATAAAACGTTAAGCACCCTTGTTTGGGTGAATGATGTGCTAGCTAGCATCATACTGCTCTTCTTGTAAATTATGAAACGCAGCAACAATTAATATATATATATAGATCACCAAACCAAAGAGAAAAATGAAACATATATTGAAATTACTTTACAATAATGTATATAGCTACAACCATGATCCTTTTTAAATCTCCTGCTGCAGATCAAATAAATATCTAAATTCTATATGTATTAGCAAATTAAGTACCTTTACAATTTTCTATTTATGGACAAGAAATAAGAATCTCATACTGTACAGAAGTCAAGTGCAAGCGGAGGCTGAAGCCAAAACCTTCTTCCCTCCGTCCCACACTGTGTGTACCTCTGCTTTGACACCAAAACTATAATTAAATATTAAGTAATATGAAGAGTGAGACGACTGACTACTTTGTCCTGGAGGCTGAAGCCAAAACCTTCTTCCCTCCGTGACCTACCTCGGTTCCGCACCAAATACTATAATAATAATAATAATAATATCAAGAGTGAGAGAACTTTGTCCTCATCACCCCCTAATTCTACATTTCCTAATAAAATCATTTGAGAAATTGACGTGTCTATTCCATAACCTTCGTACCTTGGGAAACCCAATCTCTAGCCATGGCTTTGCGGGTCCACTGAAATGTACAACGGCAGCAACTTCCAATATCTGTGGATCAACTTGTGCAAATCGGTAACCTAATCCAGAAAAATGCCATGAAGGGTCAATAGGATGCACGTAACCCTCAAATGCAATCAATGCCGGTGGCAGTGCTCCAGGACGCCATAATGTCAATCCGGAATCGAGGCTCTGTGAATAACATGACAGAATTAACAAACAAAGATGAACAACTCTTGAGAAACATTACTGCTCTCTATTTAAACAAAATGCCATAAACTCCAAACACGAAATCAGAGATGATTCTCTCATTTTTTATTCTTGCAAAAGTAAGAAAAGAGAGAAGAAGGAAAAAGAAAAAGGTCTTCTGTTTCTTACCGAATATATGCTCAATTTTGCAAGTTGTCAATTGCACTGGAGGTTTCATTGTGATAGAAATGTAGTATTTCTAACCACTTTCCATGGTTTATAAGATAAGAGTAGAGATGGTTTATCTATTTCACTTAAGACTTTCACCTAATATCTAAATGAAATTCAAAACTGACTTCAAGTGCTGGCAACACAACACTAAATAACACTTTATTATGCTCTCCTTCAAATTAACAATCCAAGAAATGTACCAAACATGCATTTTAGGCACCAACCAATCATCAACACTACAATCCATTTGACAGAAATGTACTCACAAGTTTAAGCCACTGATGATAAGTTGCAGTAATGTTGGTTTCCCTCCAAGCTTGCAGATCAAAGACATTCATCCCATACAACCATCCACAACTATCATGGTCCAAGTTAGATGATATGATTGGATTCGTAAAATTGAAGTAGTCCTTGTATTTTCTTCCTGGGCAGCAGTTGTGTCCGCACCATGAGTCAACAACTGCACCAACAACTTTTCCATTGAGATCCAATTCCCATAGAGATGACAAGTCATGTTGTACTACAATATCATCGTCCAAGAACACAATCTTGTTCAGATCTGGAAACAACTGTGTGGCCCATAAAATCAGATATCAAATCAAGTTTCACAAAATATTCACTTTTGAGATCACCCATATGATTCGTATAGAAGCTATGAAAAGTTGAGTGATTACCTCAGGAATATAAATCCGGAGATGATTCATAAGTGAGATACTGCTCGGGCTTAGAAACTCCAAATTTTTTCCATGTCCTCCCTCATTTTCAATGTCTTCTTTTAAATCATGATAGTTATGGCTCCAAATAAGGCGATGAATTTCTAGCATCTCCCTAACCCCAGCATTCACTTCGTGAGACCAATCATACTGATGCAATCCTCGGACTTCCACAACAGCTGAATTTATGGAATTTACTGCAAACCATGCATGCATTGGAGTGTAAGTTTTCTTATCAGTGATTATGTGAAACACTAGTTTCTCTGGATTGGCTGAGCTTTTTATGGTAGAGGAGATGACAACAGAGGCAGCAAGGACATTGTCAGTTAAGAGAACAACATGGTGAAGGGAAGGGTCAGTAAGGCGAGAAACAAATTCAGGTGGAGGTAAGCGTGATCGCGCCATGGCATTTATGGCATACTCCTCAGCCAACTTGAGGCAAAGGCAATATAAGCTCTTGGGGACACCATTTGAAGCTAAATGCCAAAAAAACGACTCGCGCTGCCTGGCTGAATGGATCTTGCGCTCCATATTCAATATCTGCATGAAACAAAGATATTTGAACTTCATTCTATGAGGATCAACAGTTAATATAGTGATGGCAGTATAACTATATATATTACTCTCAACTAAATGGCGTTGCAGCCTGCAATTACTAGATCGACAAGACTTGTCATCATTTATTCGAGAAAACAAGCACTAAAAATTTGGTGGGTAATCCCAGGAACCTGTCGGAGTTCAGTTGGGTTCCAACTTATGTCAGCCTAAAACATGACCAGTACCTATGCCATTGAATTAATCAAAGTTTCAGAAAAGGCATATAACCAATGTATATTTATCATTTTGCTCCTAAAATTTTTTTAATCTAAGTTGCTTAATGTAGGCATTGGATATGTGTTATTTTCCACATCATCAATAATTACTCAAGTATATATTATATTATTTACAATTATCCAAACTTTTTTCTTCATTTATTTTATTTTAATTTTGTCGGAATAAATGACAGGAGCACAAGGAAAATATTGCTTGTGGGTCGTATAAAATAAAGTAAAAAAGGTAACGGTTGGCAAACAACCCTAAAATAGGCAGTGACAAATGAAAGACCCCTAAAGAGGACGAAAACAATTGAAAAGAAATAATGCCAAACATAAAAAAGGTTAGAGAGAGACAAGTTGAGAATGAGCAATACTAATAGTGGTGTAGTGGTAAAGTGTAGTGTAGTACGTACCATAGCCTTGGTGTTGAAAGCGAAGGCCTTGATGTCCTGTTTTTTAGACGTCACATCCGTCACGAGGTCCTTGAAAGATGCTGGTAGTGGTAGTGGTAGTGGGAGTGGTGGAGATCTCTCCTCAAATCCTATTCCTATTCCTGCTCCATCCACATCCATATCCATATCCAAATCCGTGTTCGCTTCCACCAAAGCCTTCGTCAGCTCCTCTCTCAGTTTCTTTATGGTACGTAACCACACCAACAGACAAAACACACAAAAACTAATGACTGTCAGTCAATCATTCATAATGCGGAGTACTCCACTAAATTACTTATTATTATTATTATTATTATTAGTACTGTAACACATCCAATGATCCTCAACACAACACCACCCTACAGGTTTCAGTGTCTCACTTTCTCAACCCAAGCCATCCGTGTTGACGTGTAAGGCCAATTTGTAACGTCAACACGTCCACTTAATATAAGCGCCATCTACAGAGCAGTTTTGGCTGTTTCCACGCCCTGTGGACCTAGTAAAATATACTACTCCTACCACCTTTTTGGAGAGAGTAATACACTGGCAACAGACATTATAACAGCTGTCCTCAATTTTTATTTATTTATTACTATTTCTGCAATAAATAAACATCAAGTGGAGCAGAATAATAATTATAATAACATCTCCTTTCATTGGCTCTATTATTTGCTATTTCCAATTGTGTCCCCAACTCAAAATTTCTGTTGCACAAAGATGGCATCACGCATACAGGGACTGGGGATGGGATAGAGATGAAATCCAATTGAAAGAAAATAGCCAACATGTTACATTTTATAATAATAAGATGGTTGAAGTTGGCCACACAAATAGCAATAAACACATTAATTGGATGTTGAAGTAAAACGGGGTGAAGATAAAAATGCCATGAGAATAGGAACACCAAAACTAATATGGATTTATGTGACGTGATATAGTTCACAACTCTTAGGGTTTGTTTGGCAATTATTTTTTTAAAATTTTTTTTATTTTTTTATTTTTTATTTTGGTTGCAATTTGAATAGTACTTTAATTTGTTGTAAAAAAGAGACACAAGTCTAAAATACTAATTTAATTAGTGTTTTTTAATACTTTCACCCGGTAGGAAAACACTTAGTGGTGAATAGTACAAAATAAATAACATTAAATGGCCAATTCTAACTAGCCACTTTTTTTATTTTTTATTTAGTTAAAATCTAACTAGCCACTTTGTTTTCTAATATTGCAACATTTATCAACCAAACAAGATTTTATATTTTTACTTTTAAAAATCTTGTAACAAATTATACACGTATATCAAAATATACTTATATTAAGCTATCCATTAACACAATTTGCAGCCACACCTCATTAAAGAACAAAGATAAGAACACAACCACTATTTGTTGCAAAAATTTCAATACTCAAAACAAATTATAGAAAAAGGTGGGCTGGTGTTGCCCCTTGAAAAAAGGTTGAGTACTATCTACCAAACCATTGCCAGGAAAAAATAAAAAAAAATTATGGGAAAAAGTAAAAAGGCTAGGCAAATTCTTAAACAAGTTCCCCTCTAAATTACCAAAATGCCCCTACGTTGTCAAGTTGCAAGCCTATGCCCAGATGGGATCATCTGATTTCACGTGCCAGAGTTAGTTGGATAAACTTCTAAGAAAAGAAAAAATTAATTAAAGAAATAAAAATGTTATAGTTTTATACTCCATTGAAAATTTATACCGTATATAATAGAGTTTAATAAGAGTAATTTTGGAATGGAAAAAGTTACCAGAGATGTTTCACTACCGCCGAATAACCTCCATCCCATACAATCTGGTGCATAGAAATGAATGTTGAATTACAAATTTAGCAGAGGAAAACTCAAAATTACATATATATACCCAAAAAGACAAACGATGCGATGTAGAAATGTATTGAAATTATAGTAAAAAAAAGGTAGGAAAATTACCGACGGTGGCGGATTCAAGGACTATGAAAGCAATTCTAAGAAAGAGAAAGGGCAAAAGGATCCCAAGCATCAACGATGCCGGCAACACCAATCGGTGAGACAGACGGCGAGTGGGCGGCGATCCCTTTCCCTTCATGACTCCGCCAACTCCACCGCCGATGGCGTTGGATATTGTGACTTTCTTAATTCCGGTGGTTGAGATGTAATACTTCATTTCTGTGTCTAATCGAATTGGTGAATTTGTAAAGACTTGTCTAACTCTGATTTCCTCTTCTTCCTCTTGAAGGAAAGTCTCATCTGATCAGTTGTGAGATCTGATCATACACACGTCCTCACCTGCTAACCCTGTCCGTACATAGAGAGAGAGAGAGAGAGTTAAGTACTAAGGATGAGCTTAATTGATATATAGGTGGTGATTTAGGTAGGATTGAAATACGTGGAATCAGATGTGGTTTTTGGATCTCCCTCCACAGAAACTGCATTGAAATTACTTTTTATATATAATGGAGTGGAAATAAAGTATAAAATCAGTATTATTATTTTACCTCGAAAGCGTCAGGAGCTGAATTGGGTGGATTGGTGGTACTGTGACTTGGCGACGCATACAGAATGAGATCCAAGCAACTTCTTGTGTTAGCTTAGCTACCGTGAAGTTGAACACAATAATACTAATAAATACTCCCACCACTAGTAATTCATTCTCAGTTTTGAAGACCAATAATTAATTAGTTTGAGAGAGAAAGAAAGTAGCCTCCAAAACCAGAGCCGCGTTAAAAGCGAATGAATATATAAAGTCACCCGATCCAACTATTAGAGACAGAAATGAAGTTTTACAATATACACAATATGCAAATCACTACTTCATTTCATTCTCATTGTGCAAATTACAATATAAACCCCGTTCTTCCAGTATCACCGACACATAGCGACACTGAAAGTCTCACTGTCCGTGGTTAGTGTGGAGCGTGGACTATGGAATTAGACATTTAACGTGGCCACACACAAACTATGGAATGGTGCTTGCCCACGTAATCAAGGTGAAATGACCATGGAGACCCATGTCACCAAAACGCTAAATCACATCCACAATTATTAAATTATAAGCATGCTTACTTCCAATATTTTTGCTCAGATTAACTCTAACTTTATTCCCACATCCATCACATTCTTACTAGTACTAGTTCTAGTACCATCATTTTGTTGGTAAATCTTTTTTTAAAGCACACCAGACCAAATATTGTACTCCGTATTAGTTTCACTCTTATTTTATTTTTTAGGCTATAAAAAAACACAAACAAAAAATTAAAGATCAACCTTTATAGCTTGAGTCAAATCAAAAAGTCAAATATTCCACTGAAGATCACTACACTTAGACCTGAGAGCCCATTTGCCAAGGAAGTGGGCAACTCTGTTGCAAATTTTAGGACCCCAAAGAAATTTTCAATAGTGTAAATGATGAATCATACAAGCAATATCCTCTACAATAACAGTGGAGAATCCATCTCCTTCTTCTTCTTTTTCTTCTTTTTTCAAATCAATCCTCATAATTAGATACTAACTTTTCTCTATCAATTAAATAATAGATCTACACCTTTATAAGCTTTAAAGAGAAGGAGTTAATAAAATATGAAATACAAAGTTTTCAAATTACAAGTGACTTTTTTTTACTAGATTTACATACAGTTATGTTGCGTTTGACACCACCATTGTATTAATATCAATAAAAAATTTAGGTCTTATTAAATGTATAAACAAATTAGTATATAATCCCAAACCATGTGAAAGATTAATTATGATGTAATGGGTTGATTTATAAAGTCGTCACGATAATCTACTTAAATTTTTAGCAAATTTAGTGCTAAAATCAAGCATCCATATCTGGCAAGATGTCAAGGGTTTAAGTGGCACACTTGGAATTTCAAACAACACCTTCACAAAATTTCCCTTCTCAGCTAATCCAGCGGTTTCATAGTATCAAATTTCTCAAGAAGATATTTCTGTCATTGCATCCAACCCATTCTCATTAATATTATTTTTTCAAATGGTAATAACATCAATAATGTACATTGTATTTGGGAACACTAAATTCATATTTTGAATTTGAGATTACAAAAAATTTAATTTAAAACTTTAATTGAGTTTTTTTCAATCTTAAATTCAAACTCCTGATTCCTCAAACATAACCTGAAGAAAATCTAAACAAGAAATCGGGTTATAACATTGCTTTAATCGATAATTCATTATAATGGCACTCATACTATCACAAAAAAAATAAATAAAAATAAAATAAAACCATCATGATTAACCAAGTTAGATCCCCCCAAAAAAAAATAATAATAAAAAATAAAAGGAAGAAGAAGAAGAAATGTACTCATGTACTGACTTTCTCCAACCAAATAAAAGCTAATTAGAAATGATGTTGTCAAATGTTTTAATTTTGTATTGGCTAATTTTAGTGTCAAAACAAGTCCGATCGAATTCTAAAATTTTTAATTTATTTTGAGTCTTGACGTGGAATATAGTACAACAAGTGAAAGTATTCGTCAATTCAATGAGATCATCATATAGAACAAGTATGATGAGTGAGGACGCCTTCCACACACGTTTAAGTTTGGTTGAAATTATAAATTAAGGTTTTAATGTTATATTTGAAAGTTTGCAAAGATCAGTCCTATTCAGTACGGGCCAACTTTCTCAATTGCATTTGTTGCAAAGTCCAACCGGTCGAGATTATTATTTTTACCAATAAGATAGTTTTTTGGGAGTATTTTTCACATCAAATTATCATTGATTTTTATGTGTATTTTTCTTTCTTTGATAGCATGTACTATTACACGAGTGATTTTAGGATGTGTTCTTAATCTGATCAACGATATAAGAGTTTTTTCGGATTATCTTAGTTGTTCAGAAAGCATGATTTGTTTTTCTCTTTTTATGTTTGTGATCATAAAGAATGATGATTAAATCGCACTACGAAGGGTACAGACTGTTTGCGAAGCATTCGTGTTCTTCGAGCAACTCTTTTACAAGGATTGAGGAGTAAGCCAGAAATCTATAACACTTGAATGAGGTGTTGCAAATGCAAGTCTGAGTCATTTTGTAACTGATTCTTGACAGGATGAAGTGGGTGTGAGAGTGAGACAAAGTGTGTTGTGCTTTGCTTTAAGATAGTGAATTGATTCGTTCAAGACGATCAAGTCTCCATAATTTTTCTCCTGATTGAGTTTACACACTATAGAAGGAGGTTGGGTTTTCAGTGGGACCACACATAATGAGGAAAAATTCTATGTTATGTTTAAAAATTTAAAACACTAATATAATATCAAAAATAGACCGTAAGAGTGGCGTCCTCCTCAATACCTGGACTTTTTTTGCCTTTCCAAGTTCAAGTGAAATTTGCATTTTAATTTACTTGCTTTGTGGGATTGGTTTAATTTTAATTTGATAAAATTAAAACAATCAAAAAAACGAATAAAGGATCTACTTATACATATTTAAAACTTGTAGTTATTATTTTGAATTAAACTTTCTCAATCATTTTACACAATGAAACTCACATTTGTGATCGACTACAATTTAGTAATCATAGGTAGAAGTTCGTAAAAATAATCAAATAGGTGGAAGTGTCTTAGTGGAATAAATCAGGCATCACGATGACATACACTAATTCATTGAACTATTTGTCACATTCTATTATATAGAAACCATGAATTAATGTATGTGACCGTGTTTGCCACGTTAAAGTTATATTATGGAATTGCATAAAACTTAAACAATTATGATACAATATCATTTTGTTAACATGATATATATCATCACTATATCATGTATTGCGTGTGTTTCATGTGCTTTATATATGAGCCTTATGAGGAGATATTAAAATGATATGGTAGTTCCAAAGACATTCTCATTTCTCAAGACGTGGCTCAAACAAAAAAGGAGGTCACATGGTTATGCTTTATACTGAAAAGAATTCTGAGGACATAATAAATACGGTGCATATGGGAGGGGGTTTCAATTGACCCACATACACAAAAAAGAAGCCATTTTGCCCAAGTGCCCCACATTTGTGATCCATAGCTTAGGCAAGTAACATGCAATTTGGGGCCGGAATCATATTTACAATGATGGGTTGTAGATTTAGGCAAGTGTTGGTATATTTATGTGAGTGGTTATCTGCTTCATAATGATAAAATGATAAATGTCTAGACCAGGCAATAAAATGATAAAATTGTTCTTATTTAAAAAATAAATATGGTACATAAAGTGCAAACACCTCTCCCGTTCCCCAAAAAAAAAAAAAAAGGTAGTTTACACGAAATACCTCTATTATTCATTATGTATATATAACTGATTTTATACAATGTTACATATAGGGTGACTCCCCTCCCCTTCCCTCTAATCTATATAATTAATAGTTAAAAATATCCATAATCTATCAAAAGTAATATTGAAAATCCCAAAATATGTTTGTGTTCCATATATACACAAAAACACACCTAATCAAGGGCCGATCCAGGATAGGCTTGAGCCTATTAAAAAAATAAATAATTAAATAATTACTAGAGGTAATTTTAGCCCAACCAAAAAAAAAAAAAAAAGGTTTTAGTAATATTAGTCCACCCCAAAATAGATTAGCCCTACCCCATTATACAATTCTGGATCCGCCCATAATAAACTATAAGATGTGTATATAACTATTATAACATACCATATGCATAATATATGCAAGTGCCATAATGACTGGATGATTAGATTGCTCTCCTTATTTAGAAGTCCAATAAAAGTTACTCTAAGAATAACTGGCTGCTCATCTTTCCTAAGAGCTCATATTGACGGAAGGTTTGGCACTTCGATGTCGACTCTTCGCCGCCTAGGACTGTATTATGCTCCAAGAATTGGGTAATTCGCCCATTAAAACAGTATGTGAACTAAATTCAATAAGTTATGAGGCCTTGCACCATCCCCCTCTCTAACCCCTAATCCCTAACATTTCTGCCCTAAATATATATATATATATAAAGTGTTTACAAATGACACTCCAGTCTGTATAATAAGTTAATAACAATGGATTCGGCTTTTATCATTTTCTTTAAAATGGATGGTAGAAGATTGAAATTCAATATTGTGAAAAATCTTTGCTGGAAAAAAAAAATAAATTAATAAATTTTTGCTACTCACCCTTTTTGTCCAAACATTTTTGACCCATATATATTTTTAACACTTCAACCTTTTATAATTCGGGGAAGTTTTATGCAAATTAACCCTAGTTTTTATTTCCCCATTTCTTTTACATTTCGGTCGGTCAAGCGGAGCTTGAAAAACGAATTTAAACAAATTTCCTCTTAGATCTAGATCTGAGCTTTCTCAAAGCATCTCTTGAATTAATAGCTTCAGGTACTTTCTTAATCATATTTCTCAATTCAAACACTCAAAATTTTGAATTCGGTCGTCTTACCAAGCACTATTTAGTTTGGTAATTTAGTTTTGTATTTAACACGTTCTTCTTTGATTACCTGCACTTGATAATGTGATGATCAAATGTATGATTTTGATTTCCTTTCCTTGATTATCGAGTTACGGTGATAATAAAGCAGATAGGTTCATTTGAATCAAATGCTTTCATACCCATGAAACCTGCTACTATAAAATTGGAGTATCCAACATAGATTTAAAATTAAAAACTGCATTTCATATCGTTTTTCTACTTCGTCGAAATGGAAGCGTAGTCAATTGAAAAAAAAGTAACATCGGTTATATTGTGTGTTTTCAGTGATGTTTAGGCGCGGGAACAAAACCTCAAAGCCATGGAATGTTAGCCTGAACCCTCAGGTGCCGGTATTGGTTACATTTCTTATTATAATCCTTGTAGTTTTTTTATGGTGGTTTCATGATAATGGAGAGAAATCCAGTTCTTCGTTTGGGATTAAAATGCAGAAATGGAATAGCTTTGAATCATTGGTTCAATTTAACCAGACTGTGGAGTTTAGGAATGGAACTGATGTTATATGGCAAATACCCAATTCACCAAAGGCAGTCCTCTTTTTAGCACATGGGTGTGACGGTCGAGCTGCTAACTTTTGGGACAGATCTGCTAACTGCCCGAATTGCGTTGGTTTGCCAGAAGAAAGGCTAATTGTCCTTCATGCTCTCGCTCGGAACTTTGCTGTTCTTACTGTATCAAGTGCAGGGAGATGCTGGTCATTTGGGAAGGAAAAATTGATTGTTAAAGGTATTATCAAATGGTGGGTTGAGAAATACAAGTTTGAGAAGATTCCTCTTGTGGCTTTGGGGGCCTCCTCCGGTGGGTACTTTGTTTCATTGCTTGCCACCAATCTGAGATTTAGTAGCATTACAATTATGATTGCAGAAGGCATGTTTGATCAAATGGATATTACAAAGAAATACCCACCGACCCTATTTGTTCACATGCCCAAAGACGAAGCTAGGAAGCAGAGGATAGATGAAAATCTGGAAGTTCTGAAGGAAAAAGGCATTGATGTTGCAGATATCAAGTGCATGGAGTTCCCTTTGTCACCAACTTTCTTAGCTGACAGGATTCCAGGTCTTGGTCAGTCTATTTCAGAGAAATTGTTTGATCTATTCCATGACAAGGGATTCATTGATAAAAATGGTTATATGAGAAATGATGGGCGTGCAATCCGTTGGAAAGCAGGTCTCAGAGAAAGAGGGATGCATTTGCCAGATGGGCATTTAGCTCATCACATTCAGGAAGAACTGAATCTTGCATTTGCATATCATGAAATGACTAGTTTGCAGTCTGAGAAAATCTTTGACTGGTTTGAATCTCATATGAGCTGATCAAGACTCTATTCTGCTACATTCTCCCTTTTCCTGACCTTGGAAGAACATCATGGACAACCAATGTAATTTTCAGATGAGCATATATTACTGACTGTCATCAAAACCAACTCAAAGTGGGAACAGTCATGGGAAACTTGTCAAAAGTTTTACCTCTAGTCTATCTTGGATCTGGTCAGTTACGCAAGAAGAAAAAAGGTATGGTGAAAACTCACATGGATTAGATCAAACTAAAAGTGCATATATAATTTGAAGAGAGCATGTCATGCACTAATCTCGGGTGTCCGGTGAAAACATAGCTCTCCTTGGAACTAAATAGTTTTTTTGTATAAAATCCTAATTTTTGTCTAATTCACCATTTAAAGGAATGTCTAAGTACTTTTTGTTTCTCTCTGGAGATCTTTGCTTGGTTATTTTTGTTTTACAGATACTTTGATGATTTATCTATTTATTTCCCCAATAAGCACCTTGATATTGATTTCATGAGTTACCTGCTAACCATGGCGATGATGTTTATTTGTAATTATGTATACATCTGGAATTGATTGATCAGTAGACTTGAATATCAGAATTAATAAGCCCGAAGTTATCAGTTCCGTAAGCTGAGTTACAATAGATTAAGCATCTAGAGATTCTATGTCAAGGGGTAGAAAGGGATTGTTCATTATCTAGTTAGTAGTTACACATATTTGATAGGGCTTGTCGAAGCTAAGCAATTGGATAAAGTAACTTTGGCTCTTTTAGGTGGAGAAATCAAACTTCTTTAATGTGTTTCTTTTTTATGTAATTTGGATGGAGTTAAACTTGCTAAGATGAACTCAGGCAAAGTCTATACCAGAAAGGTTGGAAGAAAATAATTATTTTCTCTCTCTGTGTGTGTGTGTGTGTGTGTGTATTTACATGGAAAATCTTTCCTTATGTCGGAAGAAGTGAAGCTCAGATTTTGCACTTTTCAGTAGTGTTGTTGTGGGTAGGCATGAATAATGATATCGTCTGTGAGAATAGAAAAAAAAGTATTTGTAGGAGAAAATGGAAGAGCATAAAAGTTGAAAAATAATCAATGCCATAAGGATGAGAAGACGTAATAATAAATGAACACAATGGTGTATAGTTTTCTATTAATTCATATATTGGCATGGAGTTGAAATGTTCTAGAGAATATGATATGACTATTGGTCATGTTTTAGTATTTATTTACTCCCTCCGTCCCAAAATAGTTGGGTGCTTTGGGAATTGTGATTCACAATTTTGTTAATGCATAATTATTTTGTTGTACCTAACTATTTTGGGACAGAGGGAGTATAAATCTATTATGGGATAATTTCACTAACACCCCCTCAGGTTTGGCCAAATATCACCCTCAAACATCTTTCTAAAATAACTATTACTCACATTACAAACGTTTGTTCCGTTTTTTCACATTAGAGAAAGAAAGTGATGGTTGCCATTGAAGCTGAGGAAAGAAGTTCACTTTGCAATCTATTCTGGAAAAAACACTTCACTCCTCCTCAGTCTTCGCAACTCTGTTAATTTATATACCTTTATGTGTGTGTGAAAATGATAATGGAAGATTATAAAATTTTAAATATGTTTATATGAGGAAAAATGATAAAAGCTACCAATGTGTCTAATTTCAACACTGATTTGTCCTTATTCATTATTGATTTTTTTTTTTTGGAACAGTGATCACTAAAATAATGAGAAAAATTGATTTTATGAAGTGTAACAGTACTCTTATGGGTGAATTGATGCGTGAAAATGGTAATTTAGAAAGAAAAAAAAAATTAATAATATTTTTGGGTATTGTTGCGTGAAGAGAGAGAGAGAGAGAAAGGGGTTGAAATAGTGGTGTTTGCCTTGGTGTATTGGTGGGAATTTCAATGTTGTTTGCTCTTCGTTTGAGAGGTCAACGGGAGGTAGGTGGACATCTAATATGGAGGCTTTCTCGGAGTTTATTGATGAGTTTGAACTGATTGATTTGCCTTTGGTTGGAGGGCCGTTTACTTGGTCCAGTGGCCGTTCTCCCCCTACACTTTCTCGGATTGACTGATTCCTTGTGTCGGGGGAGTGGCAGGAGAGGTTCTCTGATGTTGTTCAGGCTATTTTGGCTCGTCCTATCTCTGACCATGTTCCGTTGATGTTGGATTGTGGCGGATTGTGCAGTAGACGTACTCCTTTCAGATTCGAGAATATGTGGTTGCGGGCTGAGGGCTTTCTAGAGAGGGCTCGTCTCTGGTGGGAGGGGTATGGTGTGGTTGGCACCCCTAGTCATGTGCTAGCAGGCAGATTGCGTTTCTTAAAGGAATTTCTTAAAACTTGGAATAAAGAGGTATTTGGGAATCTTGAATGGAGGAAAAATCGGGTTCTTGCTGAAATAGCGGCTATTGACCGGATGGAGGTTCAAGGGGATTTGGTGGAATCTTTGAAGGCTAGGAGGGCGGAGTGCAAGGCGGAGTTTACGGAGATTGCTATCATGGAGGAGATCTCGTGGAGGCAAAAATCCCGAGCCTTGTGGCTAAAGGAGGGGGATAGAAACACAAAAATTTTCCACAGATTGGCCAATGCTCATAGAAGAGGCAATCATACAGGGAGGATTCGAGTTGAGGGGGTTATTTTTTGTAAGGAGGAGGAGATCTGCAAAGGATTTTCAGAGTTTTTTGAGAATTCGTTCACGGAGTCTATTGAGTGGAGACCTTTGCTCGAAGGATTGCAGTTTGACTCCATTTCTGAGGAGGATTGTGCTTGGGCTTGGAATTGCCTTTTACTGAGGAGGAAGTTCTGATTGCTTTGAAGAGCTGCAATGGGGATAAGGCCCCAGGTCCAGATGGTTTTACCATGAGATTTCTTCTTGAGTGTTGGGAGGTGGTTAAAGGGGAGGTGATGGGCACTTTCCATGCTTTCCATTCTCGGGGATCTTTTGAGAAAAGCTTGAATGCCACGTTCATTGCTTTCATTCCGAAAAAGGGAAGGGCGTTGGATGTTAGGGATTTTCGCCCTATTAGTTTGGTGGGTTGCATCTTCAAGTTAATTGCTAAGGTGCTTGCTTCAAGATTGAGGAAAGTTTTGGATGGCATCATTTTGGACTCTCAAAACGCTTTTGTAGGAGGTCATTAGATTTTGGATTCAGTCCTTATTGCGAGTGAGTGTGTGGACTCCAGATTGCGTAGTGGGGTCCCGGGGGTTCTTTGTAAGTTGGACATTGAGAAGGCGTATGACCATGTGAGTTGGAGCTTTCTTTTGTACCTGATGGAGAGGATGGGGTTCGGTGATAGATGGAGGAGATGGATTCATTTTTGTATTTCCAGTGCTCGCTTTTCGATCCTTGTTAATGGTGCTCCTACTGGTTTTTTCTCTAGTTCAAGGGGCTTGAGACAGGGCGATCCTCTCTCCCCCTTCTTGTTCTTGTTTGTGATGGAGGCCTTTAGTAGATTGATGAAAAAGGCTACCGAGTTGGGTCTTTTGAGAGGCTTCCGGGTGGGCAGGGATGCTGTTTCTCAGTCGGAAATCTCTCATTTGATGTTTGCTGATGACACTTTAGTTCTTTGTGATGCGAATGTATCCCAGATTAGATATTTGAGATGTATTTTGATTTGGTTCCAAGTTGTCTCCGGCCTTAAGGTGAATGTGGGCAAAAGTGTTTTGGTGCCGGTTGGGGAGGTCCCTGAGATTGAGACTTTTGCTGACATTCTTGGTTGTCGTACTGGTTCATTTCCCATTTCTTACTTAGGCTTGCCTCTAGGTGCTCCTTCGAGGTGTGGGGGAATTTGGGATCCAGTTGTGGATAGATTTGAGAGAAGGTTGGCGGGTTGGAAGAAGCAGTATCTCTCCAAGGGCGGCAAGGTCACTTTAATTAAGAGCACCCTCTCTTGTCTTCCCACTTATTTTATCTCTCTTTTTTAGATTCCTTCCTCAGTTGCGGAGAGGATTGAGAGGTTGCAGCGTAATTTTCTGTGGGGGGGTAGAGGTGAAGAGTTTAAGTTTCATTTGGTGAGATGGGATCAGGTTTGCAGACCAATTCGGAATGGTGGGTTGGGCCTCCGTAAATTGGTGCCTTTTAATAAGGCCCTCCTTGGGAAATGGTTGTGGAGGTTTGGGGTGGAGAGACATTGGCTTTGGAGGAGGGTTGTGGCGTGTCGTTTTGGGGAAATGAGAGGAGGGTGGAGTTCATTGGAAGTTAGAGATCCTCGGGGGGTGGGGGTCTGGAAATTTATTCGGAAGGGTTGGGATGATTTTTCCAAGCACATTCGGTTTCGTCTTAGAGATGGGAGGAGGATTTGCTTTTAGGAGGATATGTGGTGTGGAGATATTCCTCTTGCTCTCGCCTTTCCTCAGCTTTACAGGATTGCTTCGGATAGGTAGGCCATGGTGGTTAACTGTTATCATCTTGATAATGGGAGACTGGTTTGGGATGTTCATTTCAGGCGTTCTTTTCAGGACTGGGAGATCAAGGAGGCCATTCGTTTCTTGGAGTTGTTGTATCACCAGAGGATTGTGGAGGAGGATTCGGATTGTTGGTCTTGGGTTGCAAACTCTCAGGTGCGTTTCGAGGTGAGGTCTTTCTTCAGGTGCCTCTCATTAGTTCCTGGAGTTCGTTTTCCTTGGAAGTCTGTTTGGCGTTCCAAGGCTCCTCTCAAGGTGGCTTTCTTTGTGTGGACTTCGGTTATAGGTAGGATTTAACCCAAGATAATTTGAGAAGGAGAAGCCAGGTGGTGGTCAATCGTTGTTTTATGTGTCTTAGTGATGAGGAATCGGTGGATCACCTTCTCATTCATTGCTCTTTGGCTAGAGAGTGTTGGGATTTGATGCTTGGCTTATTTGGTTTTTCTTGGGTTATGCCAGGATCTGCTAGAGGGTTGATTGAGGCGTGGAGAGGTTGCCCTGTGGGGTCTCTCAGTCAGGATGCGTGGAGGGCTATGCCGCTTTGTGTGTGGTGGTGTATTTGGCTTGAAAGGAATAGGAGATTTCGGTACTTAAATTCTCGATTATTTCCACTCTTTTTTGTTGGGTTTCAGGGAGAGATCATAGATCGTTGGAGGAAATTGTTGACTTTTTGGCCTCTTTGAAGGCTTGAGGCCTTTGTGGTCTTTTGTTTTTTCTTTTGTATTTTCTTGGGTTCCGCTCCCCTTCTGAGCGTTTTTTATAAAATGTTTTATTTATCAAAAAAAAAAAAATTAGTGGGTTTGCAACAGCAGGGTATGGGTTGATTGTGATCGACGATGATGGGGTTCTGGGTTTGCGATTGGGTTTGGAATTCTTGTATGGGTCTTGCGCTTGGTTCTGTTAATGGTGTTATAGGCAAGGGTTGATGGTGGTCTTGGCTTGGTGGTGGATAAACGATGATGGGTTTTTGGATTTGCAATTGGTTTTCAAGGTTTTGTTAGTCTGTGGGTCGTATCTGTAGAGAAGAGAGAGACAGAAGAATTGTAGAAGAGAGAGAGACACAGAAGCATCCCTTTAGACAGAGATAGAGGAGAGAGAAATAGCGTGAGTGTAGTGGGTAGGTAGGACTGTAGGAGTTTAATTAGGGGTATAATAGTCATTTAGGTTATCTGATATTTTAGAATAAATGTGATTAAAAAATTAGGGGGCAAAGTTGTCTTTTCTCATGTTTTTAACGGATACTGTGACGGAAAAGCGAAAAGGGACATAAGTGATAGTTATTTTCAAAAGATATTTGAGACTGATATTTGGCCAAACTTGAGGGGGTGTCAATGAAATTAACCCATCTATTATTTGTGGTGTAACGGCTCAATCTAGCTAAGTTTTGTTGCAATGCCAATACGTTACTCAAGAAAAGCTTGAAATCAAATTGATCTAGAAAATTAGTTCTGCAATCACTGATTAATGTTGCAGAGTGAAAGAAGGAAAAAATCAGTTAGACATTTGAAAGCTTGAGAAAGCATATATTGTTAATGCATAATTGGCCCACTCTCTGGAGTCTGGACCAGTGATCTATTGATTTTATACTTGTAGCAGCATCTCTGTATAGGTAGCAATTCTAAAAGTCTGGAGTGATCTCCTATTGATTTTATATCTATAGCAGCTTCTTACATCTGTATAGATAGCAATTCTAAAAGAAAAGAGCATTGACAGAGAGGTCCATTGTGGTTCGTAGGGAGACAAGAAAAGAATGTATCATGAAAGCATAAGGGAAGGAGGGAAGACTCAAGAGGGAATTATAAAGAGGAAGAAAAAATTGTACTGCAAGTCTGCAAGTGGAGAAGATTCTTTTTCCTTCTAATGGAGATAAGAGAAAAAAGAGTGATATTAATTTGGGAGCATTAAATACTACAGACCCAAGCCTGCTTAATGCATAATTTGTATATAATTTCTTGGGGGTCATAAGCTTTCAGAACACTAGTATGCAGCCTGACGTTTACACTGGTCCAATCAAACTGAAATATTGTACAATTGACTGGAAAAATGTGCCTATAGAATCATGATTAATCTCCTTTTCTGATGTCATCATGGCTGGATTTCAAGTAATCACTCGCACACCACATTTATTGTCTTTCCCAGCCATTTCATTTATTTGCATTGGAGATGGTATTGCATTTATGAATCAGTTTGGAGAATCCCTTTTCTTTAACCAAATGCATTAAGCTATGACTTGTGCCGCGTTAAGCTTTGAATTATGCTGCAGGTCACAAGGCAACACGCAAACGATGTGTGATTATATTTTTCCGACTAACCATTGAAAATATGGGGTTTAATTGATTGCAGAAAAAGGGCAAAATTAGAGAAAAGACAGATATCTCTCCATTTAGTGCAGTAGGTGCTATCCTAGGTGAGGATAATTTTGTTCTAGAAGGAAAATCCAATAGTGCAGCATGAACTCACCAGCACCAAAAGTCAAAGTGCTACATTCTGGATATGAAAACCCTCCTATAAGGACCATTGACAATGTATCAAATGTGAAAACTGGTGTTCATGGATCCATGGCAGGCGCGATATTAGTTTGATGATCATCACACATTTGAAAGGAGGGAAACTGTTGTTAACAAAATAAAAGATCCTCTCTCTCTCTATTATCTGGGTGTAGAAAAGGAGGAGGATTATTTATTCTAAGTATAGTTTATCCTCACTGACTGCTTGTAACTTGGGACTTTCTGGTGGAGGAGACATAGCCAAGCTGGACATCCAACTGCTGAGAAGCCTTTCGGACATGATTGGTTCCATAGACACGAACCAGATATGGTTGAGGCCATTGGTCTTGTTGCACTTATTCCAAATTTTGTGGCACTTGGTTATGTAGAACCTCCTGCATCATCGATGTACTCAATTGGTGATCTTAGGAGTTAAAAAGGCGGCATTGCTTTTGAGTTTTCTATGTATAAATTTACTTTAGAATAGCTGGCCATGATGCTTGAATGCATTAAATGGTAGCTTCATCTTTTCTGTTCCTTATACTTCAGGGGAACGGTTGATTTATTCAATGAGTTGTCTTCTACAGGGGAAAAGAAAAAACACACTATTAAAATGGTGTTTCCTTGTTTTTCTGCTTGCTTACTGGTTTTCAGTAAGCATAATTAATTTCATAGACTATTATTTGGATTTTCACTATTGCAACAATATTTTGTTTTACATCTGCAGATTGTTTCTTTCTTTTGTTTGTCTCCTAGTTAAATCCTAGTGATTTGTACCATGTGGTATATGTAATTTCTTCTGATGTTGTAGTGCTGTGTGGATAATTCTTGATTGTCATTGGCCTGTAGATTGTCCAAGAGAAAAATTCCATGTATCATTCGATGAGAATTAGGTATGTCTGATCACCTCACTCAAGTGGAAATATTTATATAACTGGTGAATTAGAGATAGAAGCAAAAGCCAATACAGCATATCTGGACTCTGTACAGAACTAGGGTAGCCATGTGTTGTTACCGATATAGCACCTATTAGCTACTTATGGACAAGGAATAAGTCAGCATTGGGTTAGGGTTCACAGGGCATCTGACACCTATTATCTAGTTATAGCCAAAACTCTGTATCAGCAATGCAGGTGAAGCAAAGGAATCAACTGTTTGTAGGAATCCTTGAAGGACAACAATACCCCTGATATTGCAGCTCGAGTGAACCTATTTTTTTGTTTTATTTAAACCCTTAGAGAGAGATTTTATACAATTTATGTATAACTTTTTTGATTAGTTTTCCTTCACATTTTATTCAAATATTCAGAGCTTGGATGCCTGTTATTTGTTGTTGGAATGGTGGCTAGATCTTCTGTTTTATATTTTTAATATTATTTTCTTTCCTTTGTCTTTTCAAGTGGAATATTTGCATTATCTTATGAATGTCTGGCCTTTTTGTATTGCAATTATACATGCATGCATATGTACATGTACACGTACTCATATGTGTATACACACACAGGTTCCTTTCCTCATTTTTCTAATTTTATTTTTTATTTTTGTGCATTTTTATGTGTGTGCGTCAATGTCTAATTTTCTACCAATAATGTAATAGAACTTAAGAAACTCTTAAATTTCTTGAACAGTTAAATTTTTAGATGAGTAGACACCCACTGGAAGAAAATTCAGTACCAGAATTAACTTCCAGTTTCTATTTACAATTTTAAATTCATCAGTAAACTGTGATTTCCTTGGTATCGATGGATCTAGTGATTACCTATTGCTATTGTGATTTTGGCAGAAAATTGACACTTAATAATAACAAGTTCTATTATTCTTTCAAGTGGTGTATCTTTGGCTTAGTTTGTTTTCATGAAAACCATTTCTTGTGATGTCTTAACTTGGTGGTCCATAAAAAATATGGAAAAACATGCATTAAAGGAAAATTTATCCAAATTATCTCAAGGTGGCTCTGTATCTGGTTACTTGTCGAGAAAGAAAAAAAAGTGGCGCTGTATCTAGTGGAGAAGTTTTCTTGATTGATGCACTACCCTTTGTCAAGCTTCTAGGGAGGCACTTGTATCTCTGTACATGTTATTTTAAACCATTAATACATTTCTTGGCTTACCCAGGTATCAACCTATTTTTATTGCAACAAATGAGTGCCAACTTTTGTATTTTTGTGATGCCTTTTTCATGAAATGGGGCTGTGTATTTTTATTAGTAACTTTGCATTTACACTACCAAGGATATAGATCGCTTAAAACAATTAGGTTAACACAAAATTGTACTTAGCAGCCAAAATTTAAGAAAATTAGTGTTCATTTGATGCCTTTTAGCTAATATAGATGTATTTTTTGGTCATGTCATTACTTGATAATCCTTCTAACCTTAGATTAGTTATGATCAACTTTATTTTGAATATCATGTGAAATGATTAAAAAAATTTCATAATTACAGGTTTCAGTGTTCTACATTAGTACGTTCATACAAAGTAAAAAGAAAAAAAATCTCTGAAAACATATAACATTTGCATTGCAGCTGATGATGAGAGGCATATGCATAGTGGTTCAGGGTCTACTACTAGTAAATGTCAAAAACTTTATTAAGAAAGATCAGATGGTTTGCAAATATGTTAATATCATTCCAACCTTTGCTATATATGTAATGGCGAAATTTGAGAATGACTCTCATTTCACTAATGCGAATATATCAGGCACGGGAGCAAGAAATGTTTTTCAAAATGGAACAAACCGTTGAGGTAGAGGAAGAGCAAGCATTTACATAACCGCACTCATTTTTTATGAAAGCTTCCAGGACCTTGGTATTCATTGCCTTCTGGCCTACGGCACAGGATTATTGAAATTTATTGGGATGGAATTCCCACACATTGCTATTACTGTCTCTATATTTGGAGTCTGCATGTGATACCATGTATTATATAGACATGTCTTATGCACGGATGCACTATAATGGTGTAGCAATTTTTTTGGTTTATCAAATGGATGGGATTGCTCAGAGGCAGATTCACTGCCATAGCTTAGCTAGAAATTGCCCATATCAAATTTGTGTGTTTTCTATGCTTGCACATACATAGACATGCCAAAACATGGTTCATAATCTCTAACAAGCATGTGTTATCAGTTGGAAACCATGCGTTCACACACACACACACACATATATATATTTATGAACACCAAATTGCACTCAAACACGGTTTCCATCTGACTATTGTGTAGAAAAGTTCCTATACTTGGATCTTCTGAACAGAAATCAGAATGGAAATTCTCTACAGGAATATCTTGTTCTTATCTCTTAATTATTTTCTCACTGTTAACCAATTCACCCTCGTTGACAGATAGGAAGATCAGTTAAATTGTTGTCATGTGATCATTCCACAATTTATTGGTGCACAAAGCAAGTCTTTCTTACCACTCAGAACTTACTGGAGTTGCTATGATTTTGAGGTATTACTTTCCATTTTTTTGTTTTAGTTGGTTTGGTTGGTTTGCATTTATTGTCATTATAAATCAGTTCACTTTTTTTTTGTTTTTTTTCTAAGCATAAATTTATTTAGTTGCAGCTTTGAATGCATTTGATATGATGGATGAGAGCAGTTGCCACTCCCATTAGATCAAAGAAGACTTCTTGATATTTCTGGTCGAAAACTCTCTTTATAGAAGACGTGGACCGCTAACAGCAATCCCGTCTTTACATTTTTTTTTGTAGAAGGCATGGGCCACTAACATCAATCCTTTCTTTTCATACTTCTGTGTCTTGGTCATGAATTGATACTTGAACAACTAAAGACCGACGTCCTTGTGTCATGACTTCCTTTGAGTAGAAATTTTGGACATTATACAATTGACTTTTGATTTAGAGCTTTTGAGATTGTGAAATCTAACATTGATCTTATTGTTACTTTTGGTCATATGTCTGCCAAGCATTAATGGTTGAATGTAGATTACTTTTCATAAGAAGACTGCAATACCATAACTGATTGATGCAAATCAAAGGCATAAAGTGGGTGAGGTGATTCTGCTGGGGGAAGCATCTGAAAAATGGGAAATTAATTTAGCAATCTAATATATATATATACACACACACATATACATATATATGCATGCATGCACAGACAAGTAGTTTCTATCTCTTTGATTTTTTGGATCTTGCATCCAGTTGTCTCTTTTTGTAATCCTTGCAATCTGTCACCTTTATTGTGGAAAACTTGGATAATGTTGATTGAATTCTACTTTAGCAACCCTGTTAGGTACTATAATTGAAGCTACAAATACACATAGATCAACTAAATTACATTATCATGGGAATATCCTAATTATTGCTAAGTAAAAATCATTGGTACTTTGCTGTTTGAAGCTTATGGTTTTAAGCTTAAACCTTCCATGTGCTTTCATAAATTCAATCTACTTCCATAATGGCTTAACTGTAAAACTTGTATAACCTTGTAAAGGTTAGATCTATGATTTATTACTCTTCTTCCACAAGCTAATTCACCTCTTTAGTTATGTTTCATTTGAAGTGAAAAGTATAAAACAAGGGGCATTTTTCACCTGATTATATCATTTTTTGTGATCATCAACGTTATATTACTCATCATTGTTATTTTCATTATCAGATTATATTCTAGTTAATTATCTCATGGGCGACGCCAACATGTAGTGACAAGCTACTGATGTCAAGCCACCAGTCAGTGGGCCTACCAAATTCGTTGACTCATCTAAATTTCCTGTATCAGCAATAATTTTGTAAGTCTTTTCTATCATACCCTTAAATAATTCCTGTAATTATCTTCGATGAACTTTAATCTGGTAACATTTCCTTGTATAGTTCTCCCTCTATATTGATTTTCAGCTTAGAAAATCATTTAAATGAGGATTGAATGTTATTACACTCTTATCTTCGAGTACCTCACATAACTCTTAAATATCCAGATTAATTTTAATGGTCTTCCTACAGCTGTACCATATATTCACTGTGTATCTTTGTTCGACTTACCACTACTTTCCATAATGTCCATTAACTCCTCGTGCATTCACTCATATAGCTCTCCCTCTAGGGTATAGTTAGCATAACAGCAGGCTGTCATTCCTTGGAATAACAGGTGAAGCACAGCCAGGGATTGTGTGGAAAACAGATGGTCTAGTCCCAAATGAACCTTGTGCAACTCCTCATGCGTGCTGGCCCATCTCGTGGTTCAAGTATCACACCAAAAGCGCAGCTTGACCTACCATTAAATGGCTCTGCATAGGACATCTCTTATTTCTTATGGTTTCTAATGATCCAAGTAAGTTTTGATAGATAAGATTGCTCTAGGTGTGACTTTGGAATCCAAGACTAGTTTAGCAATGCCCTACCAGTTCCACATTAATCCAAGGCTAATTTTGCGATGCCATTACAGTTAAAGAGTAGTCTGATTGAAAACTACCCAAGTAATTATCTGAACCCCACTTAAATCATACATTCCTGCTACTTGTCCTCTTAAAATTTGATGCCATATAACTCTCAATCCCTATATGCACTTCAATTTGGTGTGATGCGACATGAATATGCAACTGAAACCAAACCACACTAATCTTATTTATAACTAGGAAAACATAAAGTTGGTATCCATCTTAAAATCTGTAACATCATAGGAAACTAAGAACGCATATAAATCTCCATCCAAGGTAACATGCACCACCTAAGAAAATGCATTGAAAACACAAACTGAAAATGGCTAGATGCTGAAGAGTTAACTTTGGTTTTCAGGCTCTGGGCTTGAGTCTGCCTTCGTTTGCCAGCTTGAAGAGTTGTGCCTGAGCCGCTGCAGCCTTGTTCGAGCTGACTGCTGTGACAAAATTTTCCCTGACTTGCTTGGTTGTGAAAGGGAACCTCTTGTTCACCATGGAGTTTAGCAAGGAAGCCGTCCCTTCGCGGTAGAGTGCTCCAAACCCATCAGTACGAGTGTTTGAAAGCGCTTGCTGCAAGCTCATATTATTGCCCAACCCTGGAATGCTAGGCATGCCAAATGCGCTGCCCAAAGTTCCCCACCAGCCCAAGATACCCCATATCAATCCCGGGTGAGTTCTCCAATAACTGCAAGTTACAAGCATGAAAATTTTTAGTATGTTACATTATACTACCATAGATGACTTCTGACATATGTATTGTTTGTCATCTGGGATTATATAACACATACTCTCATGCGTGAGCAATTATCACTTACTTGCATGTAAAGGGCGGCGAATTTGGGTCAAATGGAGGCGTCGGTGGTGAGATACCGGGAGGAGTCCGAGTGCCTGGGTCAAAGAATGGAGTAGGTGGTGGGGTGAGAATGGATGGTGGGGTGACAATGGTTGGAGGAACACTGCCACCGGAAGTTGGAGGAGAGTTGTAGTACCCACCACCACTAGGAGGGGTTGGAGTAGGGTCGTGATGATGTCCTCCACTTGGCGGTGTTCCGCAGTTGCCTCCGCCTGAGGGGGGTGGTGTGCTGCCATAGCCACCATGTGATGGGGTTGGATGAGAGGGCGGTGTGTAGCTCCCTCCTGAGCTAGGTGAAGGCGGAGTTCCATGTGGTGGACTAGTGTGTGAACCTGTATATAATATATATATATAGTATTAATTAGCACTGCAGATTATATTATTATATGAGAAGAAAAACATGCAGTTTTAACTTGAATGACTAGCTTGCTTCATCTAATATATGTATATGACATTAGAAACTGCTTATGGACATAACCACTTTTGAAAGGACACCTTCACCACCACCATACTTATAAATGGAAGCAACAAAGCTATACTTAGTAACACGTTTTACTCCAAAAGACAGTTCTTAAAATAGTGAAATAGCTTATTAAGGAATATATGCTAGAAAATTAAAGCTGCAACACTGCAAGGATTGTAGGCAGTTAGTATGAGAAATAAGCAGAAGCAAACATGCATAATCTATTTATATATATATATAGAGAGAGAGAGAGAGAGAGACTTGTGGGGGGAGTTCCACTTCCTGGGTCTGGAGTAGTGTAGTAGTTCTTTTGATCTTCAACAATAGTTGTAGTAGACATGACAGGAATGAGCAAGTTGTGAGAAAGCAACCCAGCAAACAAAGCCCACATGAGCAGAGAGCTGGCCTGTTTGTTTCTTTCCCTCGTCATCTCTGTCTGTCTGGTTTCAAGAGAACTTACAGCAATAAGAGAAAAAACAAAGAGAGAAAAGGGTGTACTGCTTCACAGGAGGGAGCGGTGAATATATATAAATAGTGGACGCAGAGAAGTAAATATAAGCAGGTGGAGGAGTGTGTGGTTAGTTGATGTTTTGCAGGTGCATTTAAAGTAGTATTCAATTGTTTCAATGTTTAAAATTTTTAATATATATAGTCTTTGAATTGTCCCACATAATCCTATCAAACATTGTATTAATTGCCACTTACAAATCCAAAATCTAAGCATAATAGCCTAGATATAGGACATAGAAGGAGCTAATAAACTCTTGTAAACATTATCTTTTGTTCCAGGAAATGACCGTCTCTCTCTCTCTCTCTATATATATAGCATAGGTTCACTTCCGAAATATAAAACGCCCATATTGCCTGGATCATTGACGGGAATGCACAAATGTCACATGCCAGTACCGGTGCTGGAATTTTGAGTAGGATATTGCTTTTCCACAAAAAAAAAAAAAAAAAAAAAAAAAAAACGTCTTTTTGAGAAATTTATATTTGGTTTGGAGAACCACCAAGGCCTGTTACTTAGTCGTATTTCTCAAATTGTAAGGTAGAGGGTCCGATTCTCTCTAAAATATTGAGGAAGTTCTATATCAAAAAAATAAAAGAAGATATATATATATATATATATATATATATATATATATATGATTTGGAGAAGGTGGCAATTAATATATAGGAAGTTCGTATAGTTCTTTCAGCATTGCTAACATGCTAAAGCATACCACTGGTCTAATGGCCCAGCTGGTATAACTTCCCTTTCATTGGTAAAGCATTCTTCTTTTACTCGAGTTCTTTTTAAATTTATTTAGCGGGACTGTTCTCTATATAGTGCTTATATAACTGGTTGAACTAATTTAAGTAGCTTTTTGAGGGATCTGAACAGCGAAATATCTTCTATACCTCTGCTCTGACCCATATTATTTGTCCATTTTTCCCTTTTTTTGAATGTTCCAAATTAGTTCTCCTTTACAAAAGTCAAAACAAATAAATCTTCTCTTTCCATTATTATCCTTTACAATTTCAAAAAATTTCAAACTTGATAACCATGCATAAACTAAAAAGGACAAGTTAGTAATTTAAAAAAAAAATGTCTCCTTAAAAACTTTTAATTCTAAACGCGGACATCTAGTATTAGTTAAATAGTATTTATTGTGCATTAAAAATTGTGGTTAAGGCACTTGTTAGCACAGGCTAGGGTGACACTTGTTAATATGCAATTAGTGATAAATTAGACGTTTAATGAATCTGGTTTATGGAAAATTCTAAAATAACCTGGAGGTGCTGTACCCAGTTGGATGTGGTGGTGGGGCCCACCTAATAAAAAACTTTGTTTAAACCAAATGCAAAAAATTAGATCAAACCCTAAATGCAAAAAGCAAAAAATTTATGTGGCTTGAAAAATAAAAATTGCAAGGGGTTAATTATCATAATTATCAACTCCAAATCCATGTTTACTTCTCTCAGTTGCAAGGTTGAAATTGAATATTTGCAAATGTATATATGTATAAATATAGGGTTGGTCAAATGCACAGGTTTCCGCCATTACGAGAATAGGAGAGTCAGATTTATGCACTCTTACTTCTTCGTGTGGATATATTTTTTTTCTGAATTTTCAATGATTTAGCAATTAACAATTTTGAAGGATGGATATATTTATTAAGTTAGATTGGCCATCAATAGGAAATCATCTACAACTTTGAAAAAAGTTTTTAAAAACCAAATTGGAGACGAAACTCTATAGATTTTGGTCTAAACACTGGAGGAGGTAAAAACAAATGAATATATATATATATTAAGAAACACACCCACACATTCACTTTTGTCTCGACGGAAACTTGAATCCCCAATCTTCTATTTTGGGAATATCCTTTGTTTACCATAGCGAATTGTGCCAACTTTATTAAATCAATAAAATTAATTATTGGTATGACTTGTTTAGGCTTAAACTCCAATATTGGGGAATAGAAAAGAAAATTTTGAAACTACATTTATTAGGACACTCTATTGTTAATATTTAGTTATAGCATCATTAAAACCAACCAGATTTCGATATTTCATTAAATTTGAGAACATGATTAACCCATAATATTGCAAGTAAAGTTGAGAAGACGAGTAGTATTGATTAACCTATAAAATTGGAAGATGAGAAGTTAAGGATGTTTGTTGCATGCGCAAGGGTGTTTTCATCAGACAAATCAGCTCATAGGTCTCGTGAGTTGCACATGAACTTTAACACCAGAATTCTTGGGTTTTTAGTAGGTGGTAATTTGCAACTTTTGGTAAATTGAGGGTGTTTATTACCAAATATATATATTAGAGAGGAGTATTTTGCAACTTTATGATAGTACAAGGAGGAGGTTTAGTGCAAATTGGCATAAATTTTAATGAAAAAAACTCTTTTATCTACAACCTCTATCGCTTAGGGGTTTTGCTAAATGTTTTGTCTTTTTCTATATTACATGATTCGTGCTCTCAATTTTTCTAATATATATTATTTTCTTACTCAGAAATTTATTAAAGATATTTCTGGGAGGCGATATCACACTCTACTTTTTTAGATTGCATACCTCTTAAAGAAATGGCACTTTTATCTCTAATTTTATAAATAAATAATTTGTCTTTTCGTCTCCCTCTCTCTTCCTAATTAAAGTTTTGGGTCACTTCCAACTCCATTCAATTCTTTCTATACTTTGTATTAATTATCTATTCTGTGTTGATCTTTGTAAGCAACAATGGAAGATCTCATAGATGAAGAAATTATGGGGTTAAATTAAATAATTGAACTTGTTAGCATGGGAAGTACGGAAGAATTATCAATCCTTGATGAGCCATTCAACTCCATCCATGCTAATGGTGATACTAATTTTTTTTTTTTTTTCATATTGTGTACTTTGAGTTTAATTTGAATTTTTTATTCTTTCATGTGATTTATAAGAATTAATTTGGAATATCTTTGAATTTTGAAATTTACCTTGTTGATGAGAAAAGCCCTAACTGGTTTGACAGTAAAATCTCAAAACCATGGATTTTGTGAAAAGAAAGAGAGAGATGGGTATTGTATACAATTATGTTTGCCTTTTGCCTTGATTGTTTGAACTTTTGTAGTTCTCGTGTTTGTATTATATTATTGTATTTTAATAATAAACTAACCACGCTTCAAAAATTTGAAGAACAAGACCCAGACTAAATTCAGCTGGGTAAATTCCCTTTTCAACGGAATAAATAAATTAGAGTAAGTAAAGAAGGTAAAATAAGAAAGTTGATAGGCAAAGGGAGGGTATTTTGATATTATAAAATAAGAGATGAGGTAATAATGAGTTATCTTGTCAAATTATTAGTTATATATATATTTTTACCATTTGTGATATGAAATAAGAGATTAGGTAATGAATAAGAGATTAGGTAATATTCATTTATTATTAGTCTACGTTAGAGTGAAAACTTAAATATTGTTCTTTTGTAAATAGCTCATAAATTGTGAATTCTTTGATTGATAAAACATCCGTGACCGTTTTGGAGTATGGAAGAAGAAGAAGAAAGATAGATGAGAGTTGGAAATGAATAATTAAGGGGTATTATTGATAGATGAGGAGAAGGTGGGTTTGGTTTGGTTTGGTTTGGTTTGGTTTGTATGTTAAGAAGCATTGTCCAATGGAAAGTGAGGTGTTGTTTCTCACTTATGGAAACATAAAGGTTGTAACAAAGCCTAACTTCTCATACTCGTAGTAATGGGGATTGGAACAGTTTTTCTCTCTCTCTTGTGTTTGTGCAGTAGTGACTGACTTAGTTTGACCTGAACTAGGATGATAAAACTATTGCAAGGATATAAAATCAAAGACACGACGACACACTCAAACCCAAATGCAGATGGACCCCACCCCACAGAAGGAAGATATATATATATATATATAGGAACATATATATCGTTGTTGTCATAGAGCTCTTCCCCACTTTATGGCTGTGACAGAGAGTAGGTGAGAGGTAACAAAGACACAGATAGTAGTAGGAGATCTCATTGAATTGCACTATTAACTACCACTACTCACTCCTACACTAACTACTAAACATGTTACTCAAATATCCTTCTTTCCTTCCTCACAATAAATAAATATATATATATATATATATATAGACACACACACACATGTAGTTAAGATAGGAGAAAAAAAAAAAACGGAAAAAAAGAAAAAAAGAAGGGGGGGTATGGGCCTAATCTCTGAGTGACAAAATAAATTTACAAATAAATTGCTCCAACTTTATCTACTCAAGTAACCCACCATCTCTCTCTCTCATCACAAATACAAATGTTATGAATCGATGAAAAGAAACATGTGGGTTCCCCGGCTTGCATGTGCCACATCGGGCATTTGCATATGAAGTCGGTTACCTTAGTCCATGGGTGTTATTGAATGCATCTAAAGACAAATATTTTATGATTTTTTTTTATTAATTCGTTTTAAGCCCTGGCCTACTATGAAGTAAAAATGGATTACTAATTCATTCATACTTAACTCATTTCAAATTCATCCTAATGAACCCAATTGTCATAGTTGTATTGCACTACTCTACCGCTGGACTAACTGAGAGACAGCTAAAGCATGCAGACAGTACAACCAAAAGCTGTGTACTGTTTGAAATTTGAATTCAATCGAATTGAATGAGATGACCATCCTCCAAAGTCAATTCTCAATTCTTCCATGCCCTAATAAATACATGCATAAATGATACCAGCATGAAAATTGATAAAGAGTGGGGAGAGATGGGGTGGGCCCCATTTTGATAGGCATGAGCTGTGTATTTAAATACTGAAGACAAAGGGGCCCACTTACTCTCTCTCTTACACGTCCCTTTAACCCCTCATTATTTTGGCCATAAGTCCCCCACCCCCCCCCCCCCCAAACTTCTTCGAACTCTCTCATCTCGTGCATTTGGATCTCTTTACTGGTTTGCTTCTGTCCAAACAAATCATTTTCCTATATTATTTTATATAATA